ACCCAGAGCTGGACCTTTGATGAGCAAGCTGCTCACAAATCTGCCTGGAGCTGCAGTCTTGAGTGCCCAGGTGCACACTGCTGTGCTCCAGGGCCATTGGGAAGAGAACGTCAGTAGGACGCTGGGGCGCATAAGGGTCTGTACAGCCCTGCTACATGACCAGATCTGCCCCTTTCAGGACAGCACTGATGGCTTGTGGTAGGGTGGGGCTGTCCTCCACAGAGGCAGCAAGAGGCCAGGGACCCAGATCCACACCAGGGTGCCCTGGAGGGTTGTGTGGGAGAAGGCCAGGCCTCTGACTCAGCTGTCCACTCCATCACCAGCACCACCACCTCCACTTTGTTCACCTGGCCCCCTGAAAACACTTCAGTTTGCTGCCAGGCCCTGCAACGGTCATCTTTCTGGATACTGCTGGCCTTCAGGACCTTCGCCTGGCCTGGACTGGGCTTGGAGGACCATCAGGAAATTGTCCTAGGCCAGTTGGTGCTTCCGGAGCCCAAGGAGGCCAAGCCAGAAGGTGAGGAGGCTTGCAGTCTGGAAGACTTTCCGGGGGTGGTGTTTTGGGGCTACAATTCCCTTAAATTCCATCCAGTCATTTCTATACTTGGAAATCCCAGTGAGGAGTGACTGGAATGGTGACCTTTTTCCTTTTCCAGATCCTGCTCCACCTCCTGGGCAACACGCATCAACAATGCTGGCCCTGGAGCCAGCACCACCACTGTTGGCGGACCTGCGGCCTGCTCTGGAGCCAGAGTCACCTGTAGCCCTGGATGCACCAGGATATTTACATTCAGCACCAGCACCAGCACCAGCACCAGGGGAAGGGCCTCCTCCAGGAACAGTGCTGGAGCCACAATCAGCCCCAGAGTCCCCCTGTCCCTGTCCCGGGACAGTCAAGAGCCAACACACTGAGGAGCTGCCGGACATCACGACCTTGCCTCCCAGGCTGCTGGCTGAGCAGCTGACCCTCATGGATGTGGTGAGCAGCTGGGCTTTGCAGGCTGTGCGTCTGGCACCAGCTGTCTCAGACCAGCCTCTCCCTGAGGAGCGGCCAATGCCCTGGGTCCAGTTTCAGCCCCACTTCTTACCAACCATGGGATCTGGATGAGTTTGCTCACCCACAAGCCTTCCCTGTCTGCATGTGGACAGCCGAGATGGGAAATCACCCGTGCCAGCTGCACAGAGTGACTGTGCAGACTGAATGACAGGGGATGGACAGAAAGCAGGACAGGGCAGGTGATCACTGAGGGGCAGGCAGGGCCATGGGTCACTCACCCAGCTGCTCAGGAGCCTCACGACCCTCAGCACTTATTAGGTACCTGATGCATACTAGATTCTATGGCAGACACCCAAACAGAGCCCAAGGTTGCAGCTGCCACAAGGAAAGTGCACCGGTATGGAGAGAAGGAGTAGAGGGTTGATTGGGATGGGAGGAAGACGAGGCCTCAGGATGGGGAGGCCTGAGCCACCTTCTACTTCTTGGAGTGAGGATGGCCTGGGAGAAAATGTCACCCTCTTCCCACCCTTGTTGGGTTCTGGGCCATGATGCATTCAGGGCCCTCAGTGGGCAGAAAACCAAATGCAGGGACTCCCACGAGTCTGGAGCCCATTTTAAAGTTTTCTTTAAAAGCTCCAGCTCTGTTCCTTCCAGAGACTGTGGATGACTGTGAGCTCACTTCCTGCCTGGGACTGCGGGTGACTCTGAGCTGGGATGTGCCGTGTCCGTGACACTCTCCTCCTCCCCCAAAGGATCTCTTCAAGAAGGTGGAGCTCTACGACTGCTTGGGCTCCATCTGGGGCCAACGACATCAGAAGGGGAGTGAGCACGTGGCACCCACAGTTTGTGCCACCATTGCACACTTCAACAGGCTCACCAACTGTGTCACCACCTCCTGCCTCGGGGACCACAGCATGAGGGCTCGGGACAGGGCCAGGGTGGTGGAGCACTGGATCAAGGTGGCCAGGGTAAAGCCCATGTTGGTTCCTTGGGATTACCCCCTCTCTAAAAATGGGGAACTGCCTCTTCTCCTCCATCGGCTTTCAGGATTAGCATCTGTATCTCTAGCCTGAGCCCTGCACATCCCCTGGGCCCTTCTTCTCACAGCTTCCCTGACCTTGACCCCCATGGCCCAGTGGTGGCTGCTCACTTCTGACCTGGGATCTTCCTTGGGTTGAACTGAAATCTTTCTAGATGAGTGACATTCACTCAGCCCCAGGTGTACCCTCCTGAGGCTCCCTGGGCCTCTGCTTCATTCAGGAAGGGAGATCTCAGCAGAGGGGGCTGAGGCTGAAGTGGGTCGGACTCCAACTCTGGACCTCACAGCTCACTCTTCCCTCTCCAGGAGTGCCTACGCCTCAACAACTTCTCCTCGGTGCACGCCATCGTCTCTGCTCTGCGCAGCAACCCAATACATCGGCTACACAAGACGTGGGCAGGAGTGTCCAGGTGAGGAGGACTCTCTCCATGGGAGCACCAGGGTTGACTTAGGGACCCATAGGTCTCCCCATGTGCCCTCAACGACTCTGAAAAGTTCTTGGAGACCAAGGACGGTGGAGGCAGGGATGGGCTGGTGGGTGTGGTCACTAAGCTGCCCTGGACTCCTAGGCAAGGATTTCTAACTCAGGAGTAAGGTTTTTTAACCATCAGGAACAGACTGGAGCCAATTGGAGGCTTTCAGGTGTTTGTACCCAGCAGTGGAACTGTGTCCAGCTGGAAGCTAACTGTGAACACGCGGGGGCTCATGTGAAGTGGAGATGGGCCAGGGGAGGAGCATGACAGTCCCACCCTGGTCCTCCGGAGCCCTTGTCATCAGATGACCCCACTGGAAACTCTCACGCAGGAAGCTGAGATTCACTGAGTTTTCAAACAAGAGGGACTGGAACTCACAAATCTCCCCCGTGATTCCCAAATTTACCCTTTTTTCTTTCCTCTGTCAATAGAAAAAGCATAAAATATCTAAAAGAACTCTGCAAAAATGACACTGCAGTGAAGAGGGACCTGCTGATCAAGGTACAGTGGAGTCTGGGAGATGCGGGACAAGTGTTTAAGGGTC